TGCTTAAAGGTAAAATCGAAATCCACAGCTTAAGTTTCATCCTTTCCTTACCGTTTACTAAGACAGTAAAGTATTTCAGGGCTATACCACTAAAAAGTAACCAGATACTGGGTACATACATCTTAGTGTAAAATGTGCTTACAGAAATTATCTCAGAGGCAACTAATAATGTTACTTCTCTTAAAAAATATGAGTCACTCAATGCTTCATATTGCATGTTCATTGTTACCTACATGTTCCAGCCTGTTAGCTAATCATTTTCTTTGCAGAAAGTATAATATATATTATAGTTGTCCTTCAGTATCTGATGGAAAGACCCTGATGCTGGGAAAGAGAGAGGGCAGGAGGAGAATGGGACGACAGGGCATGAGATGGTTGCATGGCATCACCGACTCGATGGACGTGAGTTTGAGCAAACTCCGGGAGTTGGTGATGGACAGAGAAGCCTGGCGTGCAGCAGTCCAAGGGGTCACAAAGAGTCAGACACGACACGACTGAGTGACTGAACTGAACTGATCTGATGGAAATTAGTTCCAGGATCCAGCAGATACCAAGATCTGAAACTACTCAAGCCCTTTATCCTATGAAATGGTGGGGGGACAGCTGGCCCTTTGTGTCTGCAGATACAGGATCCACTGATATGAAGGGCTGACGGCAGCTACTTTTGATGGTGGCAAAGTCACTAAGACCACTGGAAATAGTTAGAGAACTTGAGTTCTTTTTATATGATTAGAAGAAGTCATTACAGATTGAAACAATTCTAAATGAAGTTTATTAAACAGTGTAAGAAGCAGAGAAACTGTCAAAATAATGGCAACCCATGAGGCACGAGAATGCAAATGATATACTACTAAGAAACTAAAGTCTCCCGCAAATCCATACCACTTAACACGAGGATTTAAAAATCAATTAACAAGACTGTACTCAATGTAACTAAGGAAATGGACTATAAAAATCTCTAGCTGATCTTCTTTCCTTATTCACTTATTTCTCTTGACTATATTCTTAAATAAAGAATATAGGAAAGCTAACTATATTTAGTGAGTAAAAACGTCGTCATGAAGAAATAGATATATACAAATATAGACAGACACACACATAGCCATAAATATCACCAATTGTTCCATGACATAAAAACCTCCTTTTGGGAAGTTCTCAAACAATGTAAGAGTTTGGAATTCCCAGTGTCTCAAAATAATATAAGTAACAATTTATTCCATAAACCATAATTTAGTTATTACAAAGTCAGTTAACTTAGCAAAACCATTTTACATATTTTAGGATTTCATTATGTCTATGTCATTCTTTCATTTAAATCAGGACACATAATTACAGCACCCAAATCACTGATCATTTGTTATGTGCATTGTACTAAACACTTTAAATATAGTCTTATTTAATCCCACAACCCTGAAATGTTGTATTATGTCTAAGGTATTATGTCTTATGTTTTTAAGAAACATAACTAAAATTCAGGAAGTTAAGTGATTTAATGTCAAATAATGAGAGTATGAATTGTAACCATACCATTCTATTAAAAAAACTTATAAGGGTAACTATTACTGTCATAAACGTGACTTCCTTGAAATCACCCAGGTCCAGTTTCTGATTCTAGGTTCAACTGTAGGTTTCCATTTGGATTCCCCAGCACAAAAGAAAACACCATCCATGCCAACTCCGATATTCTGGCACTTATGTTAGTAGTATTTATTGTAGTAAATTAAGTTCCGACTGTTATATTTTTCTGGTTCAATGGTGTCAAATCTCATACTGTGCATCAGGTTCTAATCTAAGCAAAAACCAACCAACCAACCACCTATGGTCAAAACAACACTGCAATAGCCCTAGAAAAATAAAACACTTGAGACTAATCACTTTCCAGTATTTCCAATAAAGAATGTTTTTCTCTCAGTATTTGAAGAGACCATGGTTTGTTTGTTTTTTAATTGAAGGATAATTGCTTTACAGAATCCTGTTTTCTGTCAAACCTCAACATGAATCAGCCATAGGCATACATATAGCCACTCCCTTTAGAACCTCCCTCCCATCTCCCTCCCCATCCCACCCCTCTAGGTTGATACAGAGCCCCTGTTTTGAGTTTCCTGAGCCACAGAGCAAATTCCCGTTGGCTATCTGTTTTACACATGGTAATGTAAGTTTCCATGGTACTCTTTCCATACATCTCACCCTCTCCTCCCCTCTCCTGCGTCCATAAGTCCATTCTTTATGTCTGTTTCTCCATTGCTGCCCTGCAAATAAATTATTCAGGACCATCTTTCTAGATTCCATATATATGCATTAGTATATGATATTTATCTTTCTCTTTCTGGCTCACTTCACTCTGTATAAAAGGCTCTAGGTTCATCCACCTCACTAGAACTGACTCAAAGTTGTTCCTTTTTATGGTTGAGTAATAGTCCACTGTGTACATGTACCACAACTTCTTTATCCATTCATCTGTCAATGGACATCTAGGTTGCTTCCATGTTGTAGCTTTGTAAATAGTGCTGCAATGAACATTGGTGTACATGTGTCTTTTTCAATTTCGGTTTCCTCAGGGTATATGCATGCCTAGGAGTGAGACTGCTTGGTCATATAGTGGTTTTATTACTAGTTTTTTAAGAAATCTCCATACTGTCTTCCCTAATGGCTGCATCAATTTACATTCCCACTGACAGTGCAAAAGAGTTCGCTTTTCTCCACACCCTCTCCAGCATTTACTGTTTTGTAGACTTTGATGGTGGACATTCTGACTGCTGTGAGGTGATATCTCATTGTGGTTTTGATTTGTACTTCTCTGATGAGCGATATTAAGCATCTTTTCAAGTATTTGTTAGCCATCTGTATGTCTTCTTTGGAGAAATGTCTGTTTAGGACCATAGTTTTGTAACTGAGCATCAGAAAGAGAACTAGACTACGTTTCAGAAATATGCATGCTCATTTGGTAAAGCATTAAAATTTCAGCTATTTGTTATCTTGCTCTTTTCCTTAAATATGTATATTCTACAATATCACCATGTAGCAGTATTAGACTCTTCTATTTAAGAGAAAGAAAAGGTTTTGGCAGACATCCTTTTTTAATCCTTAACAAGTTTCTCCAAAATACTGCATTTTTAAAATAGCTTTTATAAAAATAATTTAGTGGAAACAGATGTTATCATAATTTATGAAAGTTAGAGTCAGTCACTCAGTCGTGTCTGACTTTTTGTGACCCCATGGACTGTAGCCCACCAGGCTCCTCTGTCCATGGAATTCTCCCTGTAAGAATACTGGAGTGGGGTGCCGTTTCCTTCTCCAGGGGATCTTCCCAACCCAGGGATCGAACCCAGGTCTCCCACATTGCAGCAGACTCTTTACTGACTAAGCCACCAGGGAAGCCACTTATACTAAATTAATGCATGTTGTCACATGTTAAAGCAGTCATATTTAGAGATGCTAAGATGCTTTGAAGATATACACTTTTCAGACTTCTTTTGGGGCTTTTTTTTTTCCCTTTCAATTGAAAGTAACCACAGTCACAGAAATCTTTCTAGGAGACAAATCATAAGAATTTTCCTGGAGTTCCTCATCGTTTTAATTGCCCTCTGCTCTGGTAATTCCCACAAAAACTACTTTTCAAATCTCCTCCTTTTCTCACGAAAAACTATGAAATCTAAGAATCTAGCAATGTATATAAACACCAGGCAGTAGGGGGAAAAAAATCGTTATATTTGTAAATACAGTCTTAAGTTAACAGTGGTTCTTCACCAAAAATCTTACCAGAACTCTGCCAAGAATTTCGCTAAAGCCTATTTTCATGTTAAAATTAAAAAAGTTAAAGGGGAGAAAATATTTTAATCCAAAGTTGTTTCAAAGAGTAAAGAGAACCAGAATTATTTTGTGTGTGAGGATGTTTTTTCCCGCTCTCAACCCAGTTATCAAGAAAGTGCCAGTAACATTTGAAACCTGAATTAGAGCCAGGTGTATGTAAATAACACTTCACCGGGAAAAACCATTTTGAATTAATATGAGGAGATGCTCTCACTAAAATGACGTAGAATTAGAAACCTTACTCACATTTCCGAGTAATTTTTTTTCTAATCCTCATAGATCGAGCATCCAAGGTAAGAATTATCCAAGGACAACTGAAATTCACAAATAACTCGACAATTACTTTAAAGACGGTCAGTTATTTCAATCCTCGCCCTCATCAAAGTTTTGCACGTGTGCTGTGTTACTCAGTCTTGTTGCCACCTCACGACAGAAGCCCACCAGGCTCCTCCGTCCATGGGATTTCCCAAGCAAGATTCTGGACTGAATTGCCGTTTCCTCCTCCAGAGAATCTTCCCGACCCAGGGATCGAACCAAGCCTCCTCTGGCTCCTGCACTGACAGGCGAATTCTTTACCACTGAGCCACAAGAGAAGCCCCTCATCAAAGTTATTAGAGGGCTAAGACTGTGGTCAGGTGATCTGAATTTCACAAACAAATGTGTGAAACCTATATAATGTGAGGGTACTGGCACAATTATACCGTGAATTTAACCTAAGGAAAAATATACAGGTTTATAAGGGTTTCATAAAATACAGAATAACTTTAAACAAGTCTCAATATGCTCTGTTGCCTCCTAAACGGATAACGAAGGGCGTCGGATAATGAACACAAGGAACAAACCGTTCTTTCCACGCAGGCTTCAATTACTCCTCAACGGTATTTTCACATCCAACACACCCCTTTTTTACTGACTCAGGGGCCCGGAGGCTTAGCCTTCAATTAAGGGTCAAAAGCGCGCCGTGACCTAAGAGCGAGGGGCTTGGCGCTGTTTTCTGAGGAAGGACATGGCAACCCCACTTTTGAAACTGTGGGGCTCAAAGAACATGCGCAAAGGCCTGCCCGCCGACTCCGCCAGCACCCCCAAAAACAGCCATCGCCCACGCCCGGCGGCCCATCTGCCTAGCAACGCGGCTCGCCCTCCCGGACCCGCCCCGGCCCTCCCAGGAATGCCCACGGGATTCGTCCTACCTCCTTTTTCTTCTGTCCTCCGCCGAGCTGGATGCACAGGAGCAGCAGCAGGAGGAGGAAGGGAAAGCTCCCGGTGGGGAGATACCGCGGCCGCCGCCCCGCCTGCCTCCGGCGTGAAGGAGCGCCCCTGGCACCCATCGCCGCGGGGCTGTGTCTCCTCCACGCGCGGTAACCGTGCGCGCCCAGCTCCTACCGGCGCTCTACCTGCCAGGCCAGCCTCCGGGAGCCCCCTGCCCGTGCCCCCGTGGATGCCTACGACCTCGCCGGGGTGCGGGGAACCAGCGGAGGACGCTGAGGAGAAAACTGACGGCGCATCCGGTTCACCGGGAGAGGAGACCTGGAAAGACCCGGGATGGGGCAGGAAGTGGGCGTGGCCAGGGAGCGGGGGCCCTCGGCGAGCCGCGCTGCGCGGCGCACGCCGCCCGCGACCTGCCGGAGCCCCGAGCGGCGGCTGAGGGCGTGGTCCTCTTCGCTGCCTCGCCGATGGGAATCCTAGGCGGACCTGCTGCTGACACCGGCACCTGCTCCCGGGGATGTGCAAGGGTCCTGTTTATCCAGCGCTCTACCTGGAACCAGAGACACACATAATAAAATTGCCTTCTTCGGTGATGGAGAAGATCTCTGAGGAATTAGTGAGGATCTGGTCCTTCTATCTCATGGCAACCCTCTGATCTCCTTGGGACGTTTTTACTCAAAAATAGCTCAAACAATTGAATGATACTGTGATCAGAGTATCCTATAACAGTATCTATTCCTACTTGCTGTGAACATAGTTTTTTAGCACTTAACATGAAAAAAAATTTAATAAGAACAAAGTGATGCTGAATATTATCTTCTAGCAATGATTATTTGTCCACAGGTGCATAAACTAAAGTTTTAAGTGCATTATCTCTATAGGTAATGTTTTCTCGATACAATTTTGCTTTTCATGTTTATTAGTTTTCTCAAATTCATCACACATGTTATTTTGATAAAGTGGGTACTACTAATAACTAATGATAACAGTACAAAACATAAATTTTAATATAGCCTTATGGTCACAGAAGTTTGTTTAAATCTAATTTTAATTTATACAACTCTTTTTGCAGAGAAGAATGACTTTCCAGCATAAAAAATTCAATAAAAGACTTCCAAGCATAAAAAAAGATATATTAGGATAAAATTCTATCAGATTATACTGCCTGTGGGAGAGTAAATGGATTCAGCCACTTGAAGAACTGTTGGGCAGTATCTGTTAAAGCTAACAGAGAAGGCAATGGCGCCCCACTCCAGTACTCTTGCCTGGAAATTCCCTGGTAGGCTGTGGTCTGGGGTTCTTGCCTGGAGAATCCCAGGGATGGGGGAGCCTGCTGGGCTGCCGTCCATGGGGCCGCACAGAGTCGGACACGACTGAAGCAACTTAGCAGCAACAGCCTCTAAAGCTAAATACTCCTAACCGAGATCCCAAAGTTCAACATGAGCATATATTCACTGAGTGATGTGTACAAATTTGGATAGCTGCTTTATTCAAAAAAGGCCCAAGCTGCAAAAAGACCAAATATCCATCAACAGTAAAACAGAGAAATAATCTGTGATATGGTAACACCATATAACAGTAAAAACAAACTAATGACATTTATGCATATTAATATATGGAATGACTTTTACAACATAAAGATCCACACACAAAAGTAATATATTAGGGTTGGTAGAAATAAAGATCAAGATCAATCAAATAAGAATAGGCAAAGGCTGTTTATTCAGTGCTTGCAACATCAAGTGACTCAGCTGACATCACTTGAACTTGTGCACAGACTCAAAGGCAGGCAGGAAAGTAGGAAACAGCAGTGGAAAGAGAGGAAGTCTTCAAGTGTGCAATGATTGGAGGCTGTAAACATGAGGGAAGCTATCTAGAAAGGAGAACCCCTTATGTGACTGCCTAGGGATGCATATTTGGCTTTCTGTGGTTAGTCTTAAGTTGGAGGCATGGACAAAAATTAGGGAGACTGTCAGTTATTAATCAAGTACTCGCCATTTGGGATCAATTGTTAGAGAAGTCATGGTTTGTTCTTGAAAAGTGAAAGTCGCTCGGTCACCTGTGACTCTGCAATGCCAAGGAAGTCTCCAGGCCAGAATACTGGAGTGAGTAGCGTTTCCTTGCTCCAGGGGATCTTCCCAACCCAGGGATCTAACTCAGGTCTCCCTCAATGAAGGTGAATTCTTTACCAGCTGAGCCACAAGGGAAGGCCATTAAGAAACAATTAAGTGTTAACTTCCCTGGTGATCCGGAGACTAACACTCTACGCTCCCAATGCAGAAGACTTGGGCCTTGAGTTTGATCCCTAGTTAGGGAACACGATCCCACCTGCTGCAACTGAGATCCTAGATGCTTCCACTAAAACCTGGACAGAAAACAAATAAATATACATTTTAAAAAGAGATCTAATAGTTCAGTTCAGTTACTCAGTCATGTCCGACTCTTTGCTACCCCATGGAATGCAGCACACCAGGCTTCCTTGTCCTCACCAACTCCTGAAGCTTGATCAAACTCATATCCATCGAGTCGGTGATGCCATCCAACCAACTCACCCTCTGTCATCCCCTTCTCCTCCTGCCTTCAATCTTTCCCAGCATCAGGGTCTTTTCCAATGAGTCAGTTCTTCACATCAGGTGGCCAAAGTATTGGAGTTTCAGCTTCAGCATCAGTCCTTCCAATGAGTATTCAGGACTGATTTCCTTTAGGATTTACTGGTTGGATCTCCTTGCAGTCCAAGGGACTCTGAGGAGTCTTCTCCAACACCATAGTTCAAAAGTATCAATTCTTGAGCACTCAGCTTTCTTTATGATCCAACTCTCAAATCCATACATAACTACTGGAAAAAACCATAGCTCTGACTAGGCGGAACTTTGTTAGCAAAGTAGTGTCTCTGCTTTTTAATATGCTGTCTAGATTGGTCACAGCTTTTCTTCCAAGAAGCACGCGTCTTTTAATTTCATGGCTGCAGTCAACCATCTGCAGTGATTTCGGAGCCCCAGAAAATAAAATCTCTGTTTCCATTGTTTTTCCACCTATCTGCCATGAAGTGATGGGACCAGATGTCATGATCTTCATTTTTTGAATGTTGAGTTTTAAGCCAGCTTTTTCACTCTCCTCTTTCACTTCCATCAAGAGGCTCTTTGGTTCCTCTTCGCTTTCTGCCATAAGGGTGGTGTCATCTGCTTATCTGACGTTATTAATATTTCTTCAGGTAATCTTGATTCCAGCTTGTGCTTCAACCAGCCCAGCGTTTCTCATGATATACTCTGCATATAGGTTAAAAATACTCTTTTCCCAATTTTGAACCAGTCTATTATTTCATGTCCAGTTCTAATTGTTGCTTCTTGACCTGCATACAGGTTTCTCAGGAGGCAGGTCAGGTGGTCTGATATTCCCATGTCTTGAAGAATTTTCCAGTCTGTTGTGATCCACACAGTCAAAGACTTTGGTGTAGTCAGTAAAGCAGGAGTAGATGTTTTCCTGGAACTTTCTTGCTTTTTCGATGATCCAACGGATTTTGGCAATTTGATTTCTGATTCCTCTGCCTTTTCTAAATCCAGCTTGAACATCTGGAAGTTCACGGTTCATATACTGTTGAAGCCTGGCTTGGAGAATTTTGAGCACTACTTTGCTAGCTAGCGTATGAGAGAGTGGAATTGTGCGGTAGTTCAAACATTCTTTGGTGTTGACTTTCTTTGGGTTTGGAATGAAAACTGACCTTTTTATGTCCTGTGGCCTCTGCTGAGTCTTCCAAATTTGCTGGCATATTGAGTGCAGCACTTTCACAGCATCATCTTTTATGATTTGAAATAGCTCAACTGGAATTCCATCGTCTCCAACTAGCTTTGTTTGTCGTGATGTTTCCTAAGGCCCACTTGACTTTGCATTCCAGGATGTCTGACTTTGGTGAGTGATCACACCATTGTGGTTATCTTGGTCATTAAGATCTCTTTTGTATAGTTCTTCTGTGTATTGTTGCCAACTCTTCTTAATATTTTCTTCTCTATTAGGTCCATACCATTTCTGTCCTTTTTGTGCCCATCTTTGCATGAAAAGTTTCCTTGGTATCACTAATTTTCTTGAAGAAATCTCTAGTTTTCCTCATTCTATTGTTTTCCTCTAGTCCTTTGTATTGTGAGGAAGGCTTTCTTATTTCTCCATGCTTTTCTTTGGAATTCTGCGTTCAAATGGGTATAGCTTTCCTTTTCTTCCTTGCCTTTTGCTTCTCTTCTTCTCTCAGCTATGTCTAAGACCTCCTCAGACAACCATTTTGCCTCTTTGAATTTCTTTTTCTTGGGGATGGCCTTGATTCCTGTCTCCTGTACAGTGTCATGAACCTCCGTCCATAGCTCTTCAGGCACTCTGTCTATCAGATCTAATCCCTTGAATCTATTTGTCACTTCCACTGTAAAAGTGTAAGGGATTTGATTTAGGTCATACCTGAATGGTCTCATGGTTTTCCTTACTTTCTTCACTTTAAGTCTGAATTTGACAATAAGGAGTTCATGATTTTAGCCACAGTCAGCTCCCAGTTTTGTTTTTGCTGACTATATAGAGTTTCCCCATATTTGGCAGCGAAGAATATGATCAATCTGATTTCCGTTTTCACCATGTGGTGATGTCCATGTATAGAGTCTTCTCTTGTGTTGTTGGAAGAGGATGTTTGCTATGACCAGTGTGTTCTCTTGGCAAAACTCTGTTAGCCTTTGCCCTGCTTCATTTTGTACTCTAAGGCCAAATTTGCCTGTTACTCCAGATATCTCTTGTCTTCCTACTTTTGCATTCTAGTCCTCTATAATGAAAAGGACATCTTTTTAGGGTGTTAGTTCTAGAAGGTCTTGTAGATTCATAGAATCATTCAACTTGAGCTTCTTCATTACTGGTTGGGGCGTAGATTTGGATTATTGTGATAAAGCTTCCGTAAGCCTCTTATCCTTATTCCTCAGAGAGGCAGACATAATGAAAACCACAATCACAGAAAACTAATCAAACTGATCACATGGACCACAGCCTTGTCTAACTCAATGAAACTATGAGCCATGCCATGTAGGGCCACCCAAGATGGACAGGTCATGGTGGAGAATTCTGACAAAATGTGGTTCACTGGAGAAGGGAATGACGAGCCACTTCATTATTCTTGCCATGAGAACCCCATGAACGGTATAAAAAGGCAAAAAAAAAAATATGACATTGAAAGATCTGATATTTAGCAACTGTTAAATATATAACACAATAGTTATTAGAGCTAAGCAATCAAGTCCAACTTAAAGCAACCTGCTTTATTGGGTTATGATAGATAAGGTGTTGGTTTCCTGGGCAAGCTGCTGCAAGGTTATGGATCCAACCT